CGCGGTCTGAGGGGCCGACCGAAGCCCCCGAGGGACCAGAGCTCGGGCCTCCTCCGGCTTCGGCCTCTTTGGGTCTCCCTCCCGTTGTTAAGAGACTCGTCCCTGCGTGGGCGGTCGCGCCCTTACCCTGAGTTTCCTCCACAGGTAAGCTCTCCCCAGAGGCGGACGCGAAGAGCCCGGGAGTGTTCTGGCGCGAGAAACAGGGGCGGGGCCACGGGGCGGGGCGGTACACGCTACGTAAGACGCCGCCGCTGTGTGCGTCGCAGTGCGCATGCGCGGTGCACTGCGTAGCGGAGATCCGGACCCCGGCGGGAGCCAGCATGGCGTCTGAGCGTAAAACTAAGTTGTCCAAGAATTTGCTGCAAATGAAGGTACGGGGCGCGGGGGGAGCCAGGATGGGAGGGCAGGGCCACCGGGGCCTCCTGGCCTGGCCGAGGCCGGAACAAAGGGCGTACAGGGGCCCCAGAGGGTCTCCAGCTCTCGCGTTCATTCATTCACTTAGCGCCTGCTGTGTGTTAGGCCATGGGAACTGGATTAGAAATCCGGCTGGTTCTCTCCTAAAGCCAACTGTCGAATAAGAGAGACAGAGACGTAAAAGTGGACACAGCGTAGTAAGAGCAGTGATGCCAGGAGCGCCGGCCAGGAACTTCGGGCTTCTGCGGGAAGCGGTGCTTTAGTAGAGACTGAAGGGTAGGTGGGAGGGTAGGGGCATAGCAACACAAACTGAGGCAAGAGAGCGTTCAGACGGCTGAGAGGCAAAACCCAAAAATTCTATGCTGAGTGTGAAGAACTAAAGATAATTCAGTATGTCCGGAAGGCAAGTTGCAAGAAATGGGCTTGAAAAAGTAGTCAGGTCACAGCAGGGAATATTAGACCAGGTTAAAGATATTTATCTTGTGAGCATTGGGAAGCTGTTGAGTTCCGGGAACAATATCATTAGCTGTGCCTCTTACTCTGTCCTCTGGGTAATATTTAGTGAAAGAAAGGCCCAACGGGGTCCAAAAGTGCAGTCAGAAAGACCACCTAGAACTTCTGGTCATCTGGGTGAGTGTTGCAGTGGTGGTGCTATGGAATTATAACAGTTGAGGTGAAAGTGAGTTATGTCAAGCAAAATTTACTTTTATATTTCAGATTTAACCAAATAAGATCAAAATGGACAAAAACAAGGGTAGTTAAAATGAATATAGGAATTAAAACGGGAAACAACCAATCCTTAAAACTTTAAATAATAGCAAACATTTTAGTTCTTGCTGTGTGCCAGACACTGTTCTAAGTGCTTTGTATATAGGAACCCAGTAATTCCACATAATCCCTTGAGGTGGGTTAGTATCCCTCTCTAACAGTGGGGACAACTGAAACGGAGAAGTAAGTAACTTGCCCAGAGTTACTTACTGCTAATAAACAGTGTAGACAAGACTCAAACTCAGAATTCTGTCCCTAGACCCCATTTGCTATCAATTACTACTGGTTGCTGAACACTCACAGATGTAAACTGTTAAATGTTATGTTTAGAGGGGTGCACAATATTCAGGAAGAGGAAGCAAGGCGTAAATAACGTTCTGAAAGATTGAAGAGTAAATATTGTATGTGCAAAATGTGAATTGAGTTGAGCTAGGGTGTAACTAGGGATGAATAGGGTGATTGAAAGTGAAAGGTAAGTCAGCATAATTTATAGTTTCTAAAGCATTTCTTCCATGCATATTAGCAAAATTTGAATCTTTACTGAACAGAGTTTTCTCTTGGTTTATGATTTGAAATCATGCAGATTTCAAGGAAGTGGAGTGGATTGACACAGCAAGCACTGAAAAGATTTTAGAAGTTGTTTAACTCTCGGAATAAGTCAAATGAAGATGTGCTGGATAATTAAGGACCAGACCAAAGATCTGACTTGGAAGTTAGGAATGAAGAAATTAACTCTAAAAAATCATTTACCCCTTACCTGAGTGGTTGAGACAGACTCAACTAGACATTGGAAGCAAAGAAGAGGTTCTCTATTTGGGTTCACAACTTCTGTCATTGTTAAGAAAGAACTCACTGGCAGGATAGCAGGAGACACTAGAAGGTACTTATTTGTATAACTCTTTTGGACTCAAAGACAGGAGTTAGTGAACTTTTTCTGTAAAGGAATAGGTAAATACTTGAAGTTTGTGGGCCAGTCTGTCTAACCAACTTGGCCCTTGTACCTCAGAACCAAATGAGTATGGCTTTGCTCCAGTAAACTTTATTTACAAAAACAGAAGTTTAGCCTAAGGACTATATTTTGTGATACCTGTTCCAAGTCCTTGTTGTGAGTAAAACTAAATCAGTAGCTTTAGAGTATGTTCTTAGGTGCTGTGGAGAAATAAGAATTGAACTGCTGCCTAAGTCTGGAGTTGCTTCATTCATAGTCACAGGGTTTTCTATCTTTTCCATATGTATAGAAAAATGTGTGTGTGTGTGTCTGTGTGTGTGTGTGTGTGTGTGTATTTTGGTACATATGAATATGGCTTTTTCTATACCATAAAGAATATTTACTTAAAAATAGGAGGGAAAAGGGCAGTTGGACAGGATTTGTGAGTTTTACCATGAAGAATATGAGTAATGGGATAAGACATCTATGTTTAAAGAGAACCAGCCAAGAAAGGAAATCTGGAAAAATTAGACAAGTCTAGAATCAGTTCCATTCAGAAAACCTTTATTGAACTCTTTTCTGTGTACCAGTTGCAGCCTACATACCAATAATGCAAAATGAACAAGAGATGTGGTCTGCATTCACAATCTTAGTCTTTTGGGAGACATCTATGTACAGTGGGGCCTTGACTTACGAGTTTAATTCGTTCCGTGACGGAGCTCGTAACTCACATTACTCGTATGTCAAATCAAAAAGTGAACGAGTGAGACACGTGATGCTGGGCTGATGTTGTGGCGATCACTGTGACGTTCGCTGCGCCAACTAGCGGTGGGGTATCTGAAGCTGGCTCGTAACCCGAATTTTAGCTCGCAACTCAAAGCAAAAAATCGGCCAAGAGACGGCTCGTATCTCGAAAAACTCGTTAGTCGGGACACTCGTAAGTCAAGGCTATATATAAAAGTCTAAGCAACCATTTGACTGGTAGCTATGACACGCATTGACCACCAGGGGGCAGATGCTCAACACACAAACATGGAAACATGAAACAGACTGATGAATCTCTGAGGGAAGGGAGGGTCAGGGCAGGAAGAGATTAACCAAGATCTTATATGCATACTAGAGGCCCGGTGCATGGATTTGTGCACCAGTGGGGTCCCTCGGCCTGGCCTGTGGGAATCGGGCCAAAACCAGCAGTCCGACATCCCCCAAAGGGTCCCGGATTTCGAGAGGGTGCAGGCCAGGCCAAGGGACCACACCGGGCCTCTAATGAACAGTAAGCCAGTGTTTATAAAGCTGTATTAGAAGCAAGGAATGTTTATCAAAGGACACGTGCTCTGGACCTTCACAAGTAAGTATTTTGCCAGGCAGAAGATAGAAGCATAATGTTGAATAGCAAAGGCAGAAGAACTGGGAAGTACAGGGTTTGCTTTCCGGAAACTGCCGGTTCTTTCCTGGAATGAGGGTATAAGCACAAGTAAAAGGATGAGGACAGATGAACGAACAGTGCAAAGCCAGGACATTGATGGTGTTACAATCCACACAGTTTACCCAGATTTCACCATTTTACTTGCACCTGATTGTGTGTGTGTGTGTGTGTGTGTGAATTTTCCATACAATTTATTGTATGTAGATTTATCTAACTGCCATCACATTCAAGATACAAAGCTTTTCCATCATCACCTTTGTGTCATCCCTAATCCCTAGCCATCATTAATCTATTATTCATTATTATGATTTTGTTATTTCAAGGATGTTATATAAATGGAATCATAATCTTTGAGATTGGCCTTTTTCACTCAGCATAATTCACTTGAGACCCAGTTATGTTGTTGAGTGTTATGAATAGTTCCTTCCTTTTTATTGCTAAGTAGCACTGCATGCTGTAGATGTTCTATGGTTCATTTTAGCCATTCACCTGTTGAAGAGTATTTTGATTGTTTACAGTTCTTGGCTAGTACAAATAGAGCTGCTGTGATTATTTATGTGTAAGTTTTTTGAGTAAACTACGTTTTCATTTCTCTGGGATAAATGTCCAAGACGACAATTGCTGGGTCATATGGTAAATTCATGTTTAGTTGGATAAGGAACTATGTAGCTATTTTTCACAGAGGAGGTAATTTCCTCGTAGCCTCATCAGAATTTGCTGTTATGCTTATATTTATTTGTGAATGTTTTTCAAGTCATTTCATTTAGTAGTCATTGGTAAAGCCCTTATGTCTAAAAATGTTTATGATTTAGAAAGAGCTGGAATTGAGGGAAGCACAATATAGGATAAAGGAAAGAAATAGGGGTAAATGGAAACCAGTGTAATCCTAGATGTAACTGCTGGATGATTTCTAAATTTATTTTTCCTGTTATTAGTATTTCATCATTTTGCAGTGATTAACTTCTTGGTTTACCTATCCCCTGGAAATAGCGCTATTGTTTGTGCTAGGGAGAGACTAGAGCAGGACTGCTGTTTTCTCTACTGGCCTATTTTGAGTTGAGTTTATACAGATCTATCTTCTATCTCTATATATAAAAGCCTAAGCAACTGGTCGACTGGTCACTATGGTGCGCACTGACCACCAAGTGGCAGACGCTCAAGGCAGGAGCTGCTCCCTGGTGGTCAGTGCGCTCCCACAGCAGGAGCGCCGTCAGCTGACCAAGAGGTGCTATTCGCAGGTCTCACGGCTGGCCACCGCAGCCTGGAGACTGCAGTGGAGCGGCAGTGAGCCTACCAAGTGGCAGCGGCGGCAGACACAATGGGTCCAGGATGAGCAGGAGCAACTGGCAGTGTTGGACTGCCAGTTTCGGCTTGATCCCCACAGGCCATACCAAGGGACCCCACCGGTGCATGAATTCTTGCACTGGGCCTCTAGTTGTAAAATAAAGAGCAGCCATATAGTTGATCAGCATTTCAAAGGATAGATACAAGTGAAGAGCAGGCTTTATGGATTCCTCAATCATGAGGTGGGATTTCTGGAGAAATGGGGAAGAGCAAGTGAAAGAATAAAGTTATTTGAGGGTTTTTTTAACTCTAAATTGGGAACATTAGTTGCTGGCACTGATTTTGTTTTGATTTGACAGTTCATGCAAAGGGGACTGGACTCAGAAACTAAGAAACAACTAGAAGAGGAAGAAAAGAAAATCATTAGTGAAGAGCATTGGTACTTGGATTTACCAGAGCTTAAAGAGAAAGAGTAAGTTTTATTAGAAATTACATTAATGGCACTTTGTGCATTCAGAGTGAAATCTCTATAAACGTAACTCATCATTCCAGTGACACAAAGCCCATGAAATAGCATCAATTCAGTTTCTTGAAATAGCCTTACAAGTAGTTTTCTAAAATTGTTAAACCTATAAGAGGTCTACTTGAATTTTTATACATTTTGACTGACCCTTGGCTATCACTTATTATCCTTTTTTTTTTTTTTTGCATTGCATGAAGGATTCTAGCCCATATCTCTGGTAGTAACTGGAGACCTTTTATGAGATTCTGTAATGTACTTGCTACATATTAAGTTCCAAAGATTAGGTGTTTACTCCTGGGCTCTCTAGTTTTATTTCATTTTAACAGAATTTTTCATTAGAATGAGCTTCTGAAACATAGGTCAAGACATTTTTGTTTTGTTTCTTTCCTCTTTTTTAAGAAAATACGTTTTTATGTATTTCAGAGAGAGGAAGGGAGAGAGAAAGATAGAAACATCAATGATGAGAGAGAATCATGAATCACCTGCCTCCTGCACACCCCTTACTGAAGTTTGATGAGCCTGCAACTCAGGTATGAGTCCTGACCAGGAATTGAACTGTGACCTCCTGGTTCATAGATCAATGCTCAACCACTGAACCACACTGTCTGGGCTTTTAAAAAATATTTGCTATTAATACCAATTATCTTAGCTAACATTCATTGAGTCTGTAATGTGTGCTAGGAACAGGGCTAAGCACTTACATCTTTTTTTTCTGTTTTGTTTTGTATTTTTGTGGATGTGGGGGGGGGGGGGTTAATCCTCACCCGAGGCTATTTTTCCCATTGATTTTTATAAAGGGAAGGAGGGAGGGTGAGAGAGAAAAAGATAAAAACCCCGATGTGAGAGAGACCCTGGGCTGGGTATTGAACCTGCAACCCAAGTACATGCCCTTGATCGGGAATCAAGCCTGAGACCCTTCAGTATTCGCTCACTGGTGCTGTAACCATTGAGCCATATACATCTTTTAATTATTTAATCCTCATAGCAAACTTGAGAGCTGGCTATTATATTTTATCCATTTTATAGTTGAGGAAACTGAAGCTTAAAAGAAAATAACTTTCTCAGTGTCACCCAGCTAGTCATTGCTAAAGCTGAGATAACACATTGGTCTTCCACTGTTAGCTTTTTTGATGATTGATAAATAATTTTGAATGAAGGAGTGATGGATCCACATTATCCATTAATTTATGTAAATTTTTCTGGAAGCTACTTATCATTTCTTCTTGATGCTTGTCTTACCTTAGTAAGCTCTGTACTAAGATGGTTTTACTTAAACTTTGAAAGAACTAAAGATACTGCTTATTATCTTCAGGCATATTTATGTTTTTCCTTTTTGTACCTTATAATTCTTTGTTTTTAATATGTTACATTCCCTTGTTCATTTGGCTGATTGTCTCTGGATCTTTTAGAAGGTTAGATACTCCTCTCCAAAGATAAAAAAAGTATGTCCCACCGGGAGGGATTGGAGAAAGCTACTTTGTTTTCTCTGCTTACTTTTCTGTGTACTTGCTTCTTTTTTTATTATTTCTTATCAGAGGAAGGAAGATGTTAAGGAGGTAGGGGAAGGTAATGCCAGTGATAGTATGGATTTAGAAGCAGGGAGTGTAGAAAAGGACCTTTCCTGACTAGTAAGGAGCTATAATTTCATTTTATGCCTTGACTATACTTGCACAAAGTATCCCAGATAACCCAGGAGGATTTCCATCTTGTTTTCAGTATCCCCTGCCCCAACACAGTATATTATTCCCAGAAAAATGACCTTTAGATTTCTTTCCTAGGAGGTAAATGTCTCAGTTCATTTGAGCTACTATAACAAAATACTACAGACTGGGTAGCTTATACACAACAGAAATTTATTTTTTACTGTTTTAGAGGCTAGAGATCCAAGATCAGGAGAATGTGTGCCTGAATTTAGATTCCCTCAGGGAGAGGCGGTCCTGCTGGAAGTGAGGTGCTAACTGGACTATAGGGAAGGAACCTAAAGAACAGTGGGTTCTCAGTGTTTTGGACTCAAGAATTATTTACATTTTTAAAAAATAATTTAGAACCCATAAAAAGCTTCTTAAAGACAGATCAAGACAACTAGAAGAGAAAGAAAAGAAAATCATTAGTGAAGAGCACTGATACTCTTCATGTTGATATTTATATAAGAAATTAAAACATTTTAAAAATATTTAAGAAACAAATGCATTACATGTTAACGTAAATAACACATTTTTGCATGCAAAAGAACTTTTCCAAGACAAAAAAAAATATTAGGGAGAAAAATGGCATTGTTTTACATTTTTGCAAATCTCTTTAATGTCCGGCATTATAGAAGACAGCTGGATTCTTCTAACTCCTGCATTCAGCTTGTTATTGGATGTTGTTTTGATTGAAGTACATAAAGAAAGTCCACCCCCACACTTGATGATGTAGTTGAGGATAGAGGGGTGTTGTTTGTGCTTATGATACCTTTTTCATATAATTCTTTGATACTACTCCATAACTCAGTAAGTAGTAGTTTCTTAGATGTTAACTGCAGTGAGGAACCTGAAAACATCTTTATCATAATCATTGGTCTATCTTACAATTTTAATAGATCTTTTGTCAATGCATAATTTCATAACATCATGCATTTCTCATTTGGAATCTATTAGCTTAATGATTTATATAGATTTTCCAAATAACTCATTTCACTGTACAGTATCAAAAATTACATCATTAATATTACTGTGGGTTTCATCGGAAAAGGCTTTAATTATTGGGAACCTGTCAAGCCCAAAATGACATATACAAGCTATTCAAAATTCTAATTTTTGCTTTAAAGCTTGAATTTTATTATTGGCAATAAGTATTGTCAGTTGTTTCCCTTGAAGTGACAGATTTACTTTATTTTATGTTCAAGAAAATATCTGCTAAGTACCCAAGTTTGAATAACTACAGTTATGGTGTATCAAGAAAAAAGTAGCGAGTTAACTCACAACTCAGTCACACAAGTGTATTTTCTCACTAATCAGAAGTATCTTATAAATGCTTCCCATTTTGTGTAGAGGATATTTATAAAAAGTGTAATCAAGGACTGAGATCAATAAAAATTAATAAATTTTTAGTGCTTCATCTAGGACAGTGGTCGGCAAACTCAGTCAACAGAGCCAGATATCAACAGTACAACCATTGAAATTTCTTTTGAGAGCCAAATATTTTAAACTTAAACTATATAGGTAGGTACATTTAACTTTAAATTCACGGTTTTCGTCTACCGTTTTTCTTTGCTTCTTCTTTGTAGCCATCTCAAACAGGGCACCTAAAAAAATGTTTCATTTTATAATAATAAAGCCACCAACACAAAAGAATTACAGTTCTTAAATTGATGACAAAAATACATGTAGGATTTGCAGCTGATTGGAAAAATACCGGTAACTTTATGCTTTGAGTAGGTACTTTTGTCACCCGCGAGGGATTTGTGGACACGACTAGCACTAACCACTGCACATGAGGCTGCTGACTGACTGGCTCACTCAGCTCGCGCATGAATTGGGCACGCACCTCTCCCGCACTGCGTATCCTGCAGCCCGCCTGCCCTGCGCCGCGTCTCCCATCACCCAACAGACGAAAACCCCCCACTTCTTCTAACGCCACTTCTTCAAAGTAGACTCACCCAGGCCGAAACCCGACTTCTGTGCATGGGTCACAAAGTTTCAATCGCACTGTACATTCGCACCCGCACGTGGTATTTTGTGGAAGAGCCACGCTCAAGGGCCAAAGATCCACATTTGGCTCTCAAGCCGCGTTTTGCTGGTCACTGATCTAGGACATAATTATTTCTTTTCTTTTTTTTTTAATGTGAGAGTTAGTGGTAGACAGTGTAATGACTGCTAATTTAGTACAGTCTGGTATCACTACTTTAACTCATAATAAGATGTGATTTTACCCCTAATCGCTTTTGCACACACTGTGCAAATATCAACCTAGTAAAAAGGGCAAATAACGTCTTAGTATATTATCAGGGAACATCCTAGTGTTATGAGGGTGGACTTTCTTTATGTACTTCTACCAAGACATTTTGACCTCCTACCTTTTTTTACCTTCTCTCACTCTTCCCAGGTCATAGAGGCTTCCTTATTGTTTCTCAGGAAGGCCACTTACATTCTCCTTTCAGGGCCTTTACTTTTAACTAGTCCTGATATTTTTCCCCTGGTATCCTCATATCTTGTTCCTCACTCTCTTTTGAACTTTGCTCAAATGCCACCCCATCCAAGAGGCCTACCCAGACCACACCTTATAAACCAATCAAACACAAATTTTTAGATAAAAAGAATTTGGATGAATTGGATAGAATTCTATTTTCGTGTCTCTCGGTTTTAAAGGTGGATATGCTGGGCCATATGGTTGGCATATATGTAACATAGGAGAAGCTTTCAGATCAGTCTCCAAAGTGATTGTACCATTTTTCACTTTCACTAAGGTAGTATAGGAGTTCTAGTTGTTCAGACCCTTTCAATATTTTATATTACCTTTTTAATTTTATCTATTTTAGCATTCTAGTGATATCTCATGGTTTTTAATTTGCATTTTTCTGGTGATGATTAATGTTAAAGAATGCTTATATGCTTATTGGCCATTTCCATATCTACCTTTGTGAAGTTCTTATTCAAATTTTTCATCCATTTTTTTAAAAGGTAGTTTTTGTCGTTTTTTTCTAACATTCTGTATTACATATTTTTCTACTCTATATATCTGTCAATCTATTTTATTTTTTATGTATTTCACAGTAAGTAGCAGGCATAAGTACATTTTATCCCTTAACTAGAGTTTGATGTTTACATAGGGCTTTTTCTTTTTAAGGTAGAATTTACATACTTCTGTACAGATAGGAGTTCTTTATATTCTAAATTCAAATTCTTTCCCAGATATACATATATATTATGAATATTTCTCCTAGTCTGTGGTGTGCCTATTTATTTTCTTCTTATTGTGTTTTGATGAACAGTTTTTATTAATTTTGTTTCATTAATTTTTTCCCTTTTATAGTTAATTCTTTCTCCTGTTTAGTGAATCTTTGCCTGCACCAAGATTGCAAATATATTCAGTCTCTGTGTTTTCCTCTAGAATTTTTGTAAATTTTATCTATGCTCTGTCTCTGATTTTATGTATATGGTGTGAGGTAGGATTCAAGGTTCTTGTTTTTTTCTTTAGATAACCAGTGATCCCAGTACCATTTATTAAAAATACTTTACTCATTTCATTGTTTTGATGCTCTAGTCAAAAATCAATATGCTATGTCAGTATGGGTCTATTTCTGGATGCCTGTGTGTTGATATATATTATATTAGCTTGATTACTATGGATCGCAATGAGTCTTGATATCAGATAGTGTAAATTTTCACTTTTATTCTTTTTCAAGATTGTTTTTGCTAGCCTACATCTTCTGCCTTCCTATATAAATATTAGAATCACCTTGTTAATTTTTCCCCCATCATCTCCTTACCCCAAAAAAGTAAGATATTGAATGGCATTGCACTGACTTTATAGATCAATTTGGGGAGAATTGATATCATAACAGAATTGTCTTCCAATCCATAAATATGATATATCCATATATTTAGCTATTATTTAATTCTGTCAGCAGTGGTTTGTAGTTTTTTTGTGTAGGGATTCTATATAAGTATACCTCTGCATATTTCAAATTTTTAAATTCTATGATGGCCTTTTCCTAAAAATTATTTATTTTATGTATATAGAAATTGATGGTTATATGTTGACGTTGTATTCTATAACTATGCTAAATTGACTCACTAACTCTAGTAGGTGTTTTTTGAAGATTTCTTAAGATTATTTGCATATGCATTTTTAAGAATGGACATCCTTGCGTTGTTTCTGCTCCTAGGGAGAAAGCATTAATATATTTACTTTTAAATATGAAGTACTGTGTGTTCTCCTAGATGCCCTTTATCTTTTTTGATTTTTATAAGTAATGTTAAATTTTATGAAAACATTTTTGATGAGATAATTATATGATTTTTCTTCTGTGGGGATTATATTGATTTTTGAATGTCAAAGCAACCTTATATTTATGAAACAAATCCCACTTGGTATTTATTTATAAGTATTTATTTTAATTTGCTAATATTTTAATAGTGATTTTTGTATCAATATTCATAGAGGGTATTGGGATATAGACTTATAATGCCTCTAGCTTGGGCAGTAGCATAACTTCAGAAGTGTTCCTCCTCTTCTCATTTCTTAGTTTGTGTAAAATTGGTATTATTTCTCCCTTAAATGTTTGATAAAATTCACCAATGAAGCCATCTGGATCTGGAGTTTACTCTTTGAGAATATTTTTTAATATGAATTCATTTTCTTTAATAGATATAGGACTATCCTGATTTTTCACTTTAGTTGGTTTTTTTCTTCTCTAAAATTTCTATTTGGTAATGTTTTCATTTCCATTTTTTAATTCACATTGTTTGTATCTTCCTTCCATTCATATTTCCCTTTAAATTCTTGACCATATTTATAATACCTATTTTAATGTTTTCTATTCTATCATTTTTCTTTTTTTATTGACTTGTTTTCTGTTAATGGGTCAAATTTTTCTGCTTCCTTACATGTCTAGTGCTTTTTTTTAAAATCCTCACTCGACGATATTTTTTTTCATTCATTTTTAAAGAGAGGAAGGGCTGGGGTGGGGGGAAGATTGATTGATGTTAGAGAGAAACATCAGTAAGTTGCCTCCCATATGAGCCCCAACTGGGAATCAGACCCACAGCCTTTTGGTGTATGGGACAATGCTCCAACCAAATGAGCCACCCAGCCAGGGCTCTAGTAATTTTTAATTGTGGGCAATATATTATGTTATATTGCTGAGTACCCATCCTTAATAAAGGGTTGAAATTTGTTACATTAGGCAGCTAATTTACATACTGACCAGCTTGATCCCTGTTTTTGTTAGAGTAGGTTTTATAGCCTTTACTCTAAGGATAGCTTAGCAGTACTCTAAGGTGTGACCTTTCTATTCATTGTCACAGGGTATTCAACTGGTCTCTTCATTTTTGGTACAAAAATCAAACATTTCCATCCTCTATGCAAAGTCTCATATTTGTTCAACATACAATTCCAGGGTAAATTTTCTTTCCCAGGTGTGGTAAACTGAAAAATGGTCCCTCAAATAATATCCAGGCCTTCATCCCTGGAACTAGTTTTACCTTATATCCCCAAATTGACTTTAGTAATGTGATTAAGTTAAAGATCTTTAGATGGGGAGATTATTGTGGATTATCTCGGTGAGATCTAAATGCAATTATATCCTTATAAAAGGGAGACAGAGAGATTTCATACACACAGAGGAGAAGACATTGTGACCATGGGGGCACCAAGTGAAGTGATGCAATCACAAGTCAATGAATACTGGATGCCAGCATAAGCTGGAAAGGCAAGGAATGAGTTCCTTTCTCCCTCCCTTTAGAACAGGGATGGGGTATGTCCAGCCAAGGCCATATAAAGCCCACGAAATCATTTGGTCTGGCCCTGCCAAGGTGTTAGGAGTGAGTTAATTAAATGTTTGACCAAATATAGCAGGCTGGCTTTTAAGTTGATAATTGTGTATGGCCCATGAATCTTATATAATAAAAGGCTAATATGCAAATTGTCCCCTCGACCCCGAGTTTGACCAGGGGGCAGGGCCAGCCGGCCTACTGCCCGCAGCCCCTCCCCCTGGCCAGCCTCGCCCTCCTCACCCCAATTGGGGTTGGGGCCAGCCCGCCAACCGCCCATGGTCCATCCCCGCAGCCGGCCCAGCCCAGCCTGATTGGGGCAGGTGGGCCAGACCCCACCCATGCACGAATTTGTGCACCAGGCCTCTAGTAATGTTATAAATATCCAAATGGCCCTTGGCAGAAAAAAAGTTCCCCACCCCTGCTCTAGAGGGAGGGCAGCCCTGCTGACACTTTGATTTTGGTCCAATGAAATTGATTTCAGACTTCTAGCATTATAAGAGCATAAATTACTATTGCTTAAACCCACCAATTAATTTGTTACAGCAGCCCTAGGAAACGAATGCACAGGTAATTGTTCTCCTGGAAATCGTTATTTTTCCCTTGACACTGTGGACTCACCCTACACATGTGCAGCCTGATATTCAGCCAAAGATTCAAGGCGACCCAATATGTAGGTCCTGAATTCCTTTGTGTATCTCCCTTAATTTGGTGTCTTGACCCATGAATTTTAGCTACCTCTGGAACCCAAACTTTTAAATTGTCTCTTCAGTGCATTGAGACTGGGTGCTCTTAGAGATTCCTCCAGTCAGAAGATGGGCATTCGTGGAGCTCATTTCATTTGGTTTTCTTTCCTCATGCATCACATTTGACTTGTTCACTGTTTCCTGTTTTGTCCCATTTTAAAATTGCCTGCAGTAGGAGGGCTGGTTAAGTACCAGTTACTCCCTTATGTTCAGGAGTGGAATAACCTGCTCCCTTTTTATCCAGTATATAATATTAATCCTTTATTATCTGGCACCACTCTAGAATGTAACGTCCATGAGAGCAGAGGCTCTCTTCTTCATGGCTATCTCCCCAGCTTCTAGAACTGCGTGACACACAATTTGGTGTAATAAGTGTTTGCCAATTGAGTGAATGAATGAATGAATGAATGTTGACAAGAAGCAGGCTGACTTTCCACCAAAGAAGCCATAAAGGCTAGGTATTTGTTTTACTAGCATGCTTTATGGTGGACATCAGAACTATAGTCAGATATGCTCACTTAGGATTGGGATCATGAACTGGTGACTCAGGAGAATACATTTTGGAGACTGAAACATCCATACCTGCACCCTGTTACCAGGGCAGTGGCCTGCCCGGTGCCCTCTGTAGTGTCCAGTACTATTTAGCCCTCTGAGCAGCAGCATCATTTTCATTAGGGTAGCTTTGTAGCGTGATTTTGGTTTTAGATCAACTACCTATCTACCCTTGTTTCTGCCCATTTTCTAGTTCTCATCCAGCTTTCCCAGTGATTCTGTGAGATACCCAGTATTTTTACAGTAAATTCCTTCTATGCTTAAATCATCCAACATTAGTCATGTTTGTAGCTAAGAGTTCTGACTAATAAACTCTTTTAAAACTGCCCAGGACTCTGATTTCACAGTATTTAATAACAACTAGGTGAGTGGTGTAAATATCAAGGATATTTTGCTTTAAATATGGAAAATTCATTTTATTATAATAGGTCTCTACCTTGTGCATTTATGTAAATCAAATGTAGTGTTCAAAAGAGGCTATGACTCCAGCCAGCAGTTCCTGCCTCCTAATGTGTTTGCCGGACACATTAATCAGTTTTTATTTCTAACCCTAGATTAGAAATCTTATTGTATTTTTATTTGATTCTACTGAGAACTGTAAGATTGATTTTTCACTTGAAATCTTGACTTATATTTGCTTTGCTTTGTTATAAGTAGACATGCTATTAATACAGGTTTATTTTCCCGTTTAGGAGTTTCATAATAGAAGAGCAGAGTTTCTTGTTATGTGAAGATCTTCTCTATGGAAGAATGTCATTCAGAGGATTTAATCCTGAGGTTGAGGTATTAATATAATTACTTTAAATTTAAAATTTTTCCAATTGAATTCTTTCTGCTAGTAATTGGGTTTAGGTTTTTCCCCACCAGGTACCATTTCTCTTTATTATATGGAAAATAACAAATCTTGAAATACTGCCATAGCTATTTAAAGAAATTGCAAGCATTGCAGTCTAGTTTTATGGTGGAATTGAGTAGATAATTTAATATAGCAGTATAAGTTCTTAACAGTGCCACTGTAAGTGCTAGAATTTCAGCTCGGGTCTTTTATAGTAACATCAGGATTTTATTCATATGATGCTATTATTAAAAATTATTCTCTGGCATCTATAAATGAATCTTTGCTACTGGAAAAAAGTGTTACTTAAAAATTGAGTAAATTGACTTTTTAATGGACAGGTTTTGATCCAAACTTGTAAATAGATTTTTAAAAGAATCCTTTGGTAAGTTGGTTTGAAAAGTAAAATAGTCGCCTTATAACTGCTCTGTTCATTTGAATTTTCCTGCCTCGGGTTTTTAAAGAAGCACAGGCCTTCACTTAACAAATATCAGAATCTGGTTGTATATTAAAAGCCATCCTATCAGATACTTGACCAACCAAACGGAGGTCTGTGATATAAAGCTTTAGTTTTATGACACTTAAAGCCAGGGTTTCTCAGCCCTGGCACTGTATGATGTATTGAGCCAGATTGTTCTTTGTGGTGGGGACTGTCCTGTGCATTGTAGGATGTTTAACAGCATCCCTGGTCTGTATTCTCTACTCCCTAGACGCCAGTAGTGTACACACACGCACCAGTTGTAACAACCAAAAATGTCTCCAGACATTGCCAGAGGTCCCCTGGTGAGCAGAGCCTCCCTGGTTGAAACCACTTCCCTAAAGATGCCTGTAGACAACCACAGCTAACCAAGTTAATTGCCAAAGTTTATTTTTAAAGATTCTAGTTTAATTTTCTCCCCCTCCTCTTCCTTTTTAAAGGGTATGATAATTAAGCTGTTAAATTTATTTTATACAAAATCAACACTAAAAGTGTTTGTTTTTACTATATGCTTTCCTTGCTTTGGCCTGCTTACAGCTTTAGATTGGGAAAGAAAATGGGCAGTGGAACAAAGGAGAGGGAAAAGCAGATAATGAGTGTGTTATACTCAAAGACTGGGGCTGTGGGTGGACAGGCATTCCAAAGTATGTCTGGTATGTGGGAAAAGGAGTTGATTCGGGCCTCAGAATTTAATGGGACTCTGTACCATTGGGTACATTCTCCCTGGGGGAAAGTTTTGAACTGTTTGGTTTGTACATCTGAGCTGTCATAAAATGTGAGAAAAGTTTGATATACTTGTTTATGAAAAGAATGATACCAACTTGACAGCACTTTATTATAAGCAGGATGTATTTAGAACAAATGTTTAATATTGTATGTGTTTCTAATAACACCTGGCATAGAGTTTATTTTATCAGTACATATTTATTCTGTGCCTGTGGTGCATCAGCCCTCTAGAAGCACTGGAAATGCAGCAGGGAACCCAAGTGTATGCCCTCACAGAATTTGTATTCCCAAAATTATTTTATGTTTAGTCCTTTAAATGTTGGAAAAGCTAATTGAGACTAGTTTCTCGTCTGCTTTCCCTTCCTTGTTCTACTCTTGCTATAAAGAAAGTATTATACAGTAAAAATAAAATCTGTCAGAGGGTAACTGTCAAGTAATGGTTAATGTGAGTTAAAAAGATGGAGAATGGCCCATGACACATGGACATCATAGGGGATACATTATCCACCCTCGTGTTTGGAGGTGATGCAGGTCCTCCCCATTATACCAAGGCCCACTATCCAGTTCTTCCATCCAGCAATTTGCTGCCCCACAACCACCACCACCATTTAAAAAAAAAAAAAGCATTTAAAATTACTCTTGACTATAAATACTTCTTACATTTGGCTCAAAGGTGGGAATTTTGGAGGAAATCTGAAAGTTTACTTTTTCTTTCCCCTACTCACTAGAATGTGTTAGCAGTGTGTCTGTTTTAATTTTAATTTTAATTTTTTAATTACAATTGACATACAATATTATATTAGTTTCATGTGTCCAACCCCATGATTAGATATTTATATAACTATGAAGTGATCACCTCAATAAATCTAGTAACCATCTGACACCATACATAGTTATTAGAATACTAGAGGCCCAATGCCCAAAATCTGTGCACAGGTGTGATCCCTAGACCTGGCCGGTGGTCAAAGTGTGAGCATCTGGCATGGAAGGGCAGATCCCAGCTGACCTCTGGGCCCTGGGCAGCACCTGTCCCATCCCCCCTGGGCCCCACCCAGCTTCCTCAGTGCCTGGGAGCCAGGTGGCGGCCCCGCCCCCCTGCCACCACTGCTGGTCATCATTTGCAGGGCGATCAGCAGGGTGATTGGGCCCTGCTCCCACCCACCTTGGCCTGGCATCACCCACTCACCTGCTCTACCATCCTTGGTCCCGCTCTTGTTGGGGCCCATTGGGGCAGGCAGCGCCTCCACTGTCACCCGCTGCCAGTACCATATCGCTGATGCCTGCCATGTTCCACGCTGCCACATGATGGTCAGCGCACATCATAGCAAGCGGTCGAACTCCTGGTCAAGGGGACAATTTGCATATTAGGGTTTTGTAATATAGGCTTATTGACTACATTCCCTATGCAGTATTTTACATCCCCATGATTATTCTGTAACTACCAATTTGTCCTTCTTAATCTCTTCACCTTTTTCACCTATCTCCCCAACCACACTCCCATCTGCCAGTGGTCAGAATGTTTTCTACATCTATGCATCTATTTCTGTTATGCTTGTTTGTTTATTTTGTGTTTTAGATTCCACATATAAGTGAAGTCTTCTGACATTTGTTTTTCTATCTGACTTCATTTTTGTCTTTCTGTCTCTAGGTCCATCTATGTTTTTATAGATGGCAAGGTTTTATTCTTTTTTTTATGGTTCAGTCATATTCCATTATATATATGCACCACTTCTTTATCCATTCATCTATTGGTGGACACTTAGGTTGTTGCCATATCTTGGCTATTTATATATTTAAAACCCTAATATGCAAATAGACCAAATGGCAGAACAACCAAACAGCCAGTCACTATGATGTGCGCTGACCATCAGGGGGCGCGGTCGGAACATGGTGGGTGTCAGCAGTAGGCAGCAGAGTGTGGAACATGGCGGACATCAGCCATGGCGGGATGGTGGTGCAGGTGAGCAGGGGAGCCAGACCAAGGCAGGACTCCAGTCGCTGTCATTGGGGCATGCCTCTGCTGGTTACTGAAAATTCTTTGTTCCCGCACACCACGGTCCCTCCCCGCACTTGCACCAGCTGCTGGCGCCAGCCCCTCTCACACCCACTGCCGACACTGAAGCCACCGCCCGCTACCGCTGCTGGTGCCGGCCCCAATCGCTCGGCACCATCAGTGGGTGCAAGTGGCAGCTGCCGGCCCTGATCGCCCCTCAGGGCTTCTCCATCTCCCCTTGCTCCTGAGGGACAATCGGGGCCGGCAGCCACCACTTGCATCCACTGCTGGCTCTGGCCCCACTTGCACCACTGCTTGCACCATCAGCATGTGGAAGCGGTGGCGGCTGGAGCGGGACTGCCAGGGGACAGGGGGCTGCAACGGAAGGGGCTGGGTGGAGACACAAAGGATGGGCCGAGACCCGCCCCTGTGCCCACCTCAACCTTGCAGCCCACAGTTCCTTTCAAGGAACAGTGCACAAATTTGTGCACTGGGCCCCTAGTTGTAAATAATGCTGCAATATATGTCTTTTCAATTTAGTGTTTTCAGTTTCTTCATATAAATACCCAGAAGTGGAATTCCTGGGTCTTCCTTTGTCTATTATTATAACCTTTGTTTTAAAGTCTATTTTGCTGGTATAAGTATTGCTTCTCCAGAGTTTTTGTTTGTTTCCATTTTCATAAACTATCTTTTTCTATCCCTTTTAGTTTGTGTGTGTCTTTTGGTCTGAAGTTAGTCTATTATAGACAGCATATGTAACAGTCTTGTTTTCTTATTCATTCAGCCACCTTATATCTTTTGATTGGAGCATTTAAACCATTTGCATTTAGTGTAATTATTGATAGATATGTAGTATTTATTGCCATTTTATTTATATTTTTATCTTTTGTCTTTTTCTTATAATAATGTTTTGGTAGTGATGAACTTTTTTAGCTTTTGTCTAGGAAGCTCTTTACCTGTCCTTTAATTCTAAATGATAGCTTTTCTGGGTAGAGTAATTTTGGTTGTAGGTCCTTGGTTTTCATCACTTTGAATATTTTGTGGCAGTCCCTTCTGGCCTGAACAGTTTCTGTTGAGAAATCAGCAGACAGTCTTATGGGAGCTTTCTTGTAGGTAACTAACTGCTTTTCTCTTGCTGCTTTTAAGATTCTCTCTTTGTCTTTAACCTTTGACATTTTCATTATGGTGTGTCTTGGTCTGGGCCTCTTTGGGTTCATATTTGGGACTCCCATGCTTCCTGGACTTGTATGTCTGACACCAGGTGAGGGAAGTTTTCTGTCATTATTCTTTTTCAAATAGGTTTTCAATTCCTTGCTTGCTTCTCCTTCTGGCACCCCCATGATGTGAATGTTGGTACATTTCAAGTTATCCCCGAGGCTCCTTATACTAGCCTCATTTTTTTTGTATTCTTTTTGCTGTTCTGATGTCTGTTTTCTGCTTCGTTAACTTCCAAATAGCTGATTTGATCCTCTACTTTATCTACTCTACTGTTGATTCCCTATAATGCATTCTTCATTTTAGTTATTGTACTCTTCATTTCTGACTGGTTATTTTTTGTTTTCTTTCTCCATTTTTATGTGTCCTAGCTCTTTGTTGAAGTTGTCACTAAGTTCATCTACTCTTCCCCAAAGTTCATTGATTATCCTTATAACCAGTGTTTTAAACTCTGCATCTGGTAAATTGCTTGACTCCATTTTGTGTAGTTCTGTTTCTGGAGTTTTGTTCTGTTCTTTTATTTGGGACATGGTTCTTTGTCTCCTAATTTTATCTGTATCCTGTGTTTGTTTCTATGTATTAGGTAGACCTGCTACATCTCCCAGTCTTAATAGCCTTATGTAGTGGGTGTCCTCTAGGGCCCAATGGTGTAGCCTCCCCAATCACCTGAGCTGGGCACTCCCAACTGTGTCCCCTGTGTAGGTTATGTGAACCCTGTTGTAGTTGAACATTGAGTGCTATTGGCATGTCAATGGTAGGAATTTACCCCCAGGTCAGTCATCTTCGAGGACTGGCTGAGACCAGCATGGAGGATCTGCTATATAGGGATTGACCCCACAAAGCAGGTCTTGCTTCAGCGGGTCTCTGGTGCCCACTGAGTTCGCCTCTTGAGTGTGTTACTCATGGAGGTGGTTGGGTTGTAAACTGGCATGGTCTGAAAGCTGTCCAGTGGGTGTGCTGGCTCTGGGGCCTCTCAGGAAGTACAGACCAAGGCTAGCAACTGATTGTGCCCTGCCTTGGACCACAGTATGAACTGCAGAACAATTTGCAGATGGCTGCTACATGTGTGGGCTTGGAGAAGCCCAGGAGGGGCCAAGCTTCGAACCTAGGCTGGCTGCTACTAGTGCTGGGCCTGAGGCCACTTAGCAAGAAATACAGATGCTGCTTGTTTGAGAGATTTTAGGAAAGTCCACAGCATGAGCCAAGACAGGCTATTTGTATGGAAAAGCTGCTGGAAATGGCTTGTGTGGGCCCACAAGTTGGATGAGGCAGGGAGAACAGTGTTTTAGCCAGATTGATGAAGACTCAGATACTGTACCCATTTGCCAGCTTTGTTGAGGGGAGGGCTCAGCAAAGGAACAGTGGCCTCTGCCAGCACTCCAGTCTGGGAGAAAGCCCTTACGCTGATGCCAGACATTCATTTTCTCCCTGTATGTCCCTGGAGCTTTTCAAGTTGCTGCCCCAGAGCTGGAGCTCAGGGCAAGTGAGTCTGAGCAAGTCCATGTGTGGGCCCTTTAAGAAGAACACCTGGAACTCTAGTGGCCTCTGTGTCATCAGCCACAATTTCCCCTGGTTTTTACAGCCAGAAGTTATGAGGACTACTTTTCCCAGCACTGGAACCCTGGGGCTGGCAGGACTGGTGTGAGGCTGGGGCCCTTTGCTCATCAGGTGTGACCTCTGCAGCTGAGATATCTCTCCCAATTTTTTTAACCACCACACATTGGTGTAGAAGTATGTCTGCTATAGATATGAGTAACTAATAATAAGATTTATGATCTAAAATACAATTTAATTGACAAGTCTAATCTAGTGGGGCTTTCTCTTACTGTTTTTAATTCAGAGCAGACTTGTGTTAGTACAGTGTGGAATAAAGTAGTGCAGAAAACTGCTTCTGAATTTTTGTTAGTCCTGTAGAGTCTGACCTCTGCTTCTCTACCTTCAAATACATTGGACACTAGTTCCTTTCACAAGCCTTTTTCAGCCCTGTTGGCCATGTTCGTGTATTTTTCAGAAATTAATGCTTCAGATGAATGCTAAGAACAAAGCAGAAGAAGTTGAAGATGAAACAGTGGAGCTTGATGTCTCAGATGAAGAAATGGCTAGAAGGTAACCATTACCTTGGGACAACCTTGTGACCTGTGCCCAGCATTCACTGGCTCTCACATGTGTACTTCTCTTACCCCATGGTCTACCCCAGCAGGAAAATGACTGTTTCTACTTTCTCTGACCTGAGGTGGATTCATACTGTCACAGGCTGGCAGTTGAGGGCTCATTTCCAGTGCTGTTTCCAATGCATATTTGAATATACATCTCAATTTATTTAGGATAATACAAAAAGAAAAAATAGCGGAGAATTTAATCATTCTTAGAGAAGTTTATACGTTTTTAAATCAGGTGACTTATTTTAATCATAGTTTTGATTTTTCTTATTCTTTGTTGCATTTTATTTTCTTTTTTAATTGATATTTAGAGAGAGGAAAGGAGAGAGATAGAGAAATAGAAACATCAATAATGATAGAAAAATACTGATTGACTGCCTCCTACATCCCTTCCCCTACTGGGGATAGAGCCTACAACCCATGCTTGTGCCCTGACCAGGAATCAATCCAGTGGCCTCTTGGTTCAAGGGTCGACACTCAACCACTGTGAGCCACACCTGCCAGGCTTTTGTTGCATTCTTGATAAGACTTGATTCCTGCGTTTTTTATTTGGAATTAAATTTGTGCTATTTATCATCTTAACAGATATGAGACCTTGGTGGGGACAATTGGGAAAAAGTTTGCCAAGAAAAGAGACCGTGCCAATTATGAAGAAGATGAAAATGGAGACATAAAACCAATTAAAACAAGGAAGATGTTCTTAAAGCCCCAAGATTAAAATGTATGCCTTAAGATATGGCTCGGAGATGCCTTGTGAGAGTTAACATATTTTGGAACGCATTCCAATGGTTTCTCTATAGTTATTAATATTGTAATGTTTATATGTAAAGAAATGTATAATTTTGGAAACATGCTGTTTTTGAAACAGATGTATGATGGATGTTATACATCCTTTGCTTAATATGGTATTCATCAAGAGTGGATTTTTAGCCCTTGATCTTCAAATGTACAAAGGCAATGTTTGCGTCCTAAAATTTTTTTTACCCCAGATTATTTTTAAATATATCTTTTCAATTGCTGACCTTAAATTGACACATAACTTAATAATAGTGTTTAAATTGTCCTTGTGTTTGCATTTAACTTTAAATTATTAATGTTGTCATTTCATACATTTTGGAATCAAATGTCGTGAGGATTTATTCTACATAAATTCATCAAGAACAAGCATGCCTTTCTAGCCTAAAATATTTGCATGCGACCAAATCAGTCAGTTTGTGGAATTAAGCGGTTTTGTTTAAAGCTTTTAATTAATAAGAAAAAATAATGTTCTGTAATAAACATCTGTTTTCATATATCTTTCTGTTACCTTATACTTTCAAATAATAATTTTAATTAAATTTAGTATTGGAACTTTAAAAAAATGAGCCACTAATTTAGAAGATGGTGGTATAATTAGATTGAACTGTAGAAATTTACTTCTATGAGTCAAAACCATCAGTTTTTTATAGTATAGCTCAGTAGAATTTGACGCCCCCCAGATTATCACCTAGTCTGAACCTTATTCTCAGTAGTGAGTAGAGAAGCCCGTGGAATTTAGTGTATGTATGTGTGTGTCTCTGTCTGCCTGGAGATATGTACCTAGGACTTCCTTTCATTTTGTTCCTAGCAGTACACCTTCCAGCTCTCTACATCCTGGCGCAGAAGCCAGAAGTTCTCACTGCTTTGCCAGCACCACAATCCATTAATTTATGGAATGTCTTATTCACCCTTGTTCTGCATAGCATTACTTTTGATAACCGAACCCATTTCATAAAAAATTAGTGGGGCAATGGGTTTGTGCCTCTGGAATTCACTGCTCTTTGCCCATACCCCACATACAGGAGCAGCAGGTATAATAGAATTGTGGAATGGTCTACTTAAGACTCAGTTATGGCCCAAAGTGGGACACAAAACTCCATCTTACAAATTCCATGCTTTGAATCAGTGACCACTTAATGGGGCTGTTGATCACAATCTGGTCATTTTGCCACTAAACCAGTAGGCAAAGGTGTTTCCTCTCCTGGCTAGTACAGGAGAACAAGGGCATTTGTGCTGTTTCTTCATGGTGGGTGACGGAGAATGACACGTGGAACCTAGGGGCATCTTGTAGCACTTCAATGTCCACTGACAAACTTGAATGGAAAACAACCACCTCAGAGGCAGGAATGATGTAGACCTTTTAGATAATGAAGTCTTGGCTTACCTTATGAGGTATAAACCCAGCAGATCCTGGCTTAGGGGAGAGGAAAATGAATATGAAGAGGGAGAATGAAGATTATTAACTACAGCCTTGTGATGAATTAATTATAAGTTACTGAGCCGTTATGCATATTTTCTTCCTTGCTGTGTGTACTAATTTTTTCTCACTTCTCTTACCATATATGGGATTTAGAGGGTTAACTTTGCTAATAAAGAGTTGTTTTTCTTGTAGGAAGTTTAATCGTGTTTAGGAGTGCATGCATGTGGATGTAGAAAAGCCCAAGGAGACAGACTATAGTAGACATTAACTTGTTTCTCAGACTCAGGCTCACCCTTCTATATAGTTTTTGGTGCTGGTCTGGGACTCAGCAAACCCCATTTCTCCTTTGCCAGCTGGCTGGCTTCTTATTGGATGGGCCAATGGAAGCCCAGAGGGAGATGACAAGTCTAGAGGAGGAAGGTGGAGCATAATCCTTTCTGTCTGCTTCTTCCTCTGCTTTCCCCTAAACACCTCTTCCCTCCAGCAGAGGCTGGTGTTTCAGTTACAGTCATTGATACCAACTACTCAGCGCTTACATTTCTGCCCAGTACTCTGGCCCATAGGACACCTCCATTCAACTCAGACACGTGTTAATCTTACCACGGGTGTTGAGCTTCAACTCTAGGGTGTCTTCGGGCTTCTAAAATTGAGCAATTTCAGCCCCTTTCCTAAGAGTGACAGCTTCCTGCATGGTACCTTAAATGCTTTTTCCTTTTTTTAGATCTTTAATATCCAATTAACAATTCTTTACATTGAATTTCCTCTGTTGAAATAAGGGTGGCTTTTATCTCCTGACTAGATTTTTTCCAAAGCTGTGAAATCATGGGTTTAATAGTCTTGAAATACTTCTTTTTTTAATCTGCATTCAAGTTTACAGCTATTAAAGTAAAAATGTTCAATCACTTACAACTGCCTGGAAGTGTTCTCATGTGACCTGTAGTTAGTTTACCACATTTGGAAAACACTGTCCCAGCACAATAACATCCATTGACTTGGTTGTTGTTTCATTCATGTTCATCTCCTTAGTTGTCAAGCTACTACTGTTCTCTGAGGTAAAGACTGTATCTTTTTTATTTGCTCCTCTACCTAGCAAGGAATGTGACCCATATTAATGCTTTTAGTGCATGTTTCTTCAGTGAATGAATGAATGAATGAATGATAGATGGTTTGGAAATCACCTAGCCTACAAGGCCTATTTGAACCACAGTGCTGCCCAACAGGTGAGGCTCAGCTGTTGAGCATCAACCTATGAACCAGGAGGTCACGGTTGGTCAAGGCACATGCCCAGGTTGTGGGCTCAATCCCCAGTAGAGGGCAGCGATCAATGATTCTTATCATTTATGTTTCTATCTCTCCCTGTCCCTTCCTCTCTGAAATCAAAAATATATTAAAAAAATAAACACAGTACTGTGGAAATAAAGACTAACCAAATGAAAAAAAAAAAGAATATTAAGTACATGCGACAGAGCAGGGGACTCAGCCACCATCATTTGTGATCTGGCAGATTCAAAATCAGGCAGAGGAATGGGAAAGCCTTATTGTGGGGGAAAGAAAAGGGAAGGCTTCAGGTTTGCCTTGATTGGAGACTGTTGGCATGACGAAGCTGTAGGTGGCTAATAGAAGCAGGATAGGCTAAGTGACTGGTTAGATATGCATATTTGACTTTCTGGTTGGTCCTAAGTTAGAAATGGGGACAAAAATTAGGGAACTTAGCAGTTATTTAATCTTTATCTTTTGGAGCTGATTGTTATAGAAGTTATTGTTTAGCATCGTAGGTTGTCACTAGAGAGATACCATCTGGCTTTCTGCAAGGCTGAAGTTTAGATAAGGGGTTGATTTCTTGGGCAGGTTGCTGCAGGTTATGGGTCAAAGTTCTATTTTTATAGATAGCCTAGCCATTGTCCATTTGTATATTCAGTCTCTCAGTGCTTAAGTTTATTTCTAATCATACTATAAAATACAACTGTTTGATCATGATTCTGTGGAAATAAGCACTCAATTTAAGAAGTGCCACCAGTGGGATTAGGGATGTTTGTGGCTCTAGCCATTGGCAGAGTTGTCTATGCTGGAGGCAGACACTTCAGCATTTAGTGCCCCAGGAACCATGCCACCAAATGAGGCAACTGAAAACTTAGCCAATACCATTGACTAATGGATATAGAATTCAATTCAAAAGATAATCATCATTTCACTTAACGATTCGCTAGAATTCATATAAGTTGATTAACTTTATCAAAGAGAAGATGTAGCTATAATAGTAGTCTCAAGAAAATCCCTAGAGAACTTTCACTTTGTAATATGTATTTTATGAAGATATCCATTTCCCCTGAAACAGTTGCCTAATGAAATGTGTTGTCAAATGAAACACATTTTCCCAATCCGGGCCTCAGAGAACACACAGGTGCCATGTCATTTAGTCCAAAGTATGTTGGAGCTTCTAAAAGAGTCTGGCCTGACATGCCTTCTTCCTGTAGGAATATCCTTACATGAGTACTTTATTAATAAAGTATTTGGTGGTTCTGTAAGTGCTTGTAAACTATAAGCATCTCACTACACGTAAGTTCTCATTTTAATTTTAATCATCATGAAATCATTAATCCATACATGTACCCTGTTTAGCTCTGGACAAAGAAATCATTTGCACAGAAAGGATACCACTTTCCAAACCAACACCTCAATTTTATATCCTAGAGTTTCCTCAACATATTATGCTTGTTTTCTGTCTGAAGCTGTATTTTCACTTGCCCCAAGAAAAAAATATGTCCTGGGTTTCAGATATTCATTTTACAGCAGGAGTCCTGGACTTGTTTGTATAGTCACGCTGTTCTCTGTACAGTATATTTATTCTGGACGGTATCGCTTGCTAAAATCTCTTCCATCAGCATTGGGTGTGAGAAAACTCTGCCTTCTCATGATTAGCAGGGGCAATCCTATGCTATTGCAAAATTGCAACAGGATCAAACAAGACCATTCAGATAACGAAGATGACAATCTGACAAATATTGGCAGGCCATGATTTCCAGTGACTTCTCTCCCACTCACAGCAGGCTCTCACACCCACGTCCCTTTCTCTGACCTCTGCCCTGATCATTGTCCCAGAGTCTCCTCCCTCATACAACACCCGTGTCAAATGGATTCCATCCTTGACCCTGACACTTCTCTGTTCCCATCTTGGATTCTCATTTGACCTCAAGGGGATGTCACAGTCGAAAAGGAGGATAACATAGGATCAAGTCTGCAGTTCAAATCATAGACCAGATTCTGGAGTCAACAGTAACAGAAAACCTAGATCAGGAGTGTGCAGCACAAACCTACACTTAACCCTCAGAGATTCCATCAGGTATTTATTGATTCAAGAAGGGAGCTGATAAAGATGGGACTAAGATGTTAGCTGGAGGAAAATAAAGCAAGGTGGAAACAGCTGCTCTGCTAGATAATTCCCCAAAAGAGTAACTACTGTGATATGTGAAGGACATCTGTCTTTTTGGTTTTGTTTTTGTTTCGGAGAGAGAGAAACATTGATTTGTTGTTCCACTTATTTATGTATTCATTGGTTGATTCTTGTATGTACACTGATGGGGGATTGAACCCACAACCTTGGCATATTGAGAGGATGCTCTAACCAACTGAGCTACCAGGCCAGGGCCAAGGAGATCTATCATTAAATGTCAGCCATGTACTGGGAAGATTGCTGACATTATTCATTTGACTCGGCCAGGCACTGAATTATGGGCTGGAGGTGTAAAGTATTCTATTTACCCACGAAGAAATTGAGGCACAGAGTCATTCAATAACTTGCCTAATGTCACACAGCTGTTAAGTGATGGAGCCAGGGTCTGAACCCAGATTCACTGACCTCAAGTCACATGCCCTTTCTCTTATATTACACTATAGAGAGAAGCAAAAGAATAGAATTGGGAAACAGGAATAAAATAGCCTAGGTCCATAAGATCCTAATATGTTCCAAACAGAATCTTTCAAAATCATATTGTATTGCCTGACATTTTTTAATATGCCTTTTGTATAGATTGGCTTCTTACAGATGAAATGAATTAAATTCACATTAGCAATCACTT